GATCGGACTTGGGTTCTTGATCATCAGAAATTTTTTCAGGAAGAACATCTTTCGGTTGAGCTTCCCCCTTAGAAAGTGCTTCATTCGTGATTATTTTCCCCTGTGGGGATGCATCTTTCGTGTCTTCTTCTTTCGGTGTAGAAGATTCCTTCGGGAAAGATTTCGCCTTGACGAGAGACCGAAAGTGACTCTCTTTGATGATTCTGGAGAGAATCAGATTATCTTCGTCTTCGGATGAATCTTTGACAACGATTGTTTCTGGTAGAGGGGAGGGTGAAATTGGATCTTTCTTCTCTTGTGGAGATTTTAAAGGGATTGGAACAGCTGAAGTTTCTTCTGCCATTTTCGCCTTACTCCGAGAGGAGTGCTTTTCTCGTTTTTGTCGTTTCGGCTTGGGTTGATCATCTTCTGAAACCCTAAGTGTTCTTGATTTCCTCTTGGCTTTGACTTGCTCAATAGGGATTCCCAACTCCAATGCCTTCTGCTTGTCATATCCGGATGGTTTTTGTTTCATGTGACATGCTTTCTGTCCAGGTCGAATTCCTGGGCGCAGAACGACTCCTTTCGTTGCCAGAAGATGGCTTATCACAAAACCATATCCTAATTTCTTTGCAATGTCTCCTGGACTCTTCCGATGAAAGGTGATGGTGTGAACAATGTTGTTGAATATGATTTTTGACCAATCGACTTTAAATCCATTCAAGAAGGCATGCAGCATTTTCAACTTCTCCTTCGTCACATCATCAGTGCCCGAGGTCTTGTGATCGACGAGTTTATTGAAGATATCAACAGTGAACTCATAATCTAGCCGAAACCATTTCTTCTTCAACGGCCATGTGATTTCTGCTTTGGGTGGTGCGTGATTGTTCTTGATGGATTCGTAGAACTCCTCTGGATCGAGATGATAATAGATAATATCTGACTTGTAGGACTCATCTCTCTGTGGGAACCCGTATGTTGATCGAACGTCCTTCGAGGTAATGACCACATGATGATTATTGACTCTGGAAGTGATAGTCAGATAATCAGAAGATATTGAAGCATTCATATAGAACTGGGTTACATCAACCGGGTACCAAACAGTATAAAGATGTGTGATGAAGCCATATAATCCTGTTTCTGTGAGGAGATGTATGATGTTTTCACCAAATTTTCTATCCAAGATATACTCAAGGAATCCATGCGCGTCCCACATACTTCCCCCTACGATGAAGGGTACTCTGGATTCAATGAATCTCAGGTCCTCAGTTGGAAAACTTGGGACGACCAGGCTGGAAGGAGTTTCTGGTTCTGGATTAGATGGTGATGCTTGTGGATGTTCTGCCATAATTGAGGATTCGAGAGAGACAGAGGGTTATGAAGAAAAGTGTGAGAAAGGTAGGGTAAAAAGATCAAGAAGGTTTAAGAAGGGTTTTATAGAACTCCGGGTATCCGGGTATGGATGACCCATTTAGAGATGAAATGTTTAAAATTCAAAACACTCCCGGTTCTTCTTCTCCAAAAAGGTAACTTATCAACGTGGGGGGAGTGATAAGATCGTGTGCAGATCAAAAACGATCATTCCCTCATTTAATGAGGTGAGAGAAAATCACTCGAGTGCTTATGGGTGCATTAAATGCACGTCACATCATGTATCAGACAGAGTGGGGGAGTGTACCACTTTTCTCGGCCACATGATCCCATTAGAAATCATCTAAACGATTGGAAATAAAGGCTAAAAGCATTAAGCATATTTAGACATGATTCCAAACCCGAAAGAAGATAGAGTATTCATAACATAAGACTTGTGAGACAAATAAAGTCAAACAGGTCCTTTTTACACCAGCAGAAATGCTTCTCCCGAGAGAATTATTACACAGAACAATACGCAACACAAACGGTTACAATCTCTCGTGCATTTGTAGGCAGACTTCCCTTCTACACATTGCTACCCTTCTTCTTTCGTTCGTACTCAAGGTATTCCCTCTTTCGGATCTCATGAGCAAAGACTTCAGCAATGAGGGTCTCGTGATCTGCTCCCAAGGTTTCTCTAGAGAGACCTCGTCTCTCCATGTCATTTAGTTCAGCCATTACCTTGGCCTTAGCAAAAGAGTACAGTGCACGATATCTTTCTTCGTGCTTTAGAAGAGGGGTAAGTTCAACAAGAGAGTAGAACTCTGAGATTTCAGGTTCTTTCTCAGATGATGAACCTTTCTCAACCGAGTTTCCGAGATCACGGTGAGACATTTTTCCAGTCTCAGATAAGCTCTCGGATGAGAGTGCCTTTTCTTTCCCTTTATCCATGAGTTGAAGAAAGAGATGAGTGAGTCCATAGAAGATTGAGAGGGTCCATTGAATAGAGAGACCGAACCTCTCAAAAGATGTGTCCAACTGACTTAACCAAGACACTGTTTAAGGAATATATTCTTTTTCAAGAATTTTGTCCTTGATTCGAGATTTTTAGACAGGTGATAGATAAGACATATAAAGTCTCGTTCAAAGGAAGCCATAGCCAATAAAGCTTTATTATTTATAGAACCGAGAGAAGAAAGTACATAGGATAAGATACAACAGACAAAAGGTCAATTTTGCTTCCTCTCGTTTTTCTTGACTCCAGATGGTTCATCTTTGGCCTTTTTCAGATTTCCCAGCATTTGCTTAAACCATTTCCCGGTTCGTGGGTAGTTTGAGCCAGATGAGGATTCAGGTTCTTCCTCCTGATCATATTTTTCCATTAAGTCCTCTTGTGCCAGAAAAGCCATATAATCTCGATCTGGAATCTTGGTAGGATCTTTATAAATGAGGTACACTATGAGAATAAATTTCTCATCTAACGAAAACTCTAGTGTTTGTTTTTGCATGTGCAGGAATGAGTACGGGAAGCGAAAGAACCATTATGGAGGCACGAGAAGAAAAGAGTGAAGTTCTCAGTGAGCCACTAGTGACTGAGCAACAGCTTAATCAGTTCCTTAAACACGCTCAACACATACGAAACCTTCTCCGTGACACGCCCGATAATGAGTCACGAGAATCCTTCTACTCTGTTGGCAACCCCATTGGATATATCAAAGAAAACAGTGTGCTGGAACTAAGCGATAGTTTTGACTACTCACCCTCAGGAACCCCCACCAAGATAGCATCTCCTCTCAAGTCCACCGCAAGCAGCAAGAAAAAGAAAGCTTGAATAACTTTGTTAGGCCACGGTGACAAATTGTGGTGTTATCTTGTTCATGATCTTTTTAGTTTATGACTCTATCATGCATTATCTTTTAAATATGATGTCAATATCTAAAAGATTTTGTTAAGATTCGCACGTTATCTTTTGCCTATATATTATTCTTCTATTTCATGAGCTTTACTCACTCACAAGTTCTTAGAAAAGGATAAAGATTGCAGGAAATGGACAAAGGGAAGGAAAAGAGCGACGAAGTTGAGAAAAGGGCTAAACGTCTAAAACATCATATGCAAGAAGCCAGCAAGCTTCCGAATGCCACAATAATAAATTGTTGGGCGTCGACCGGGTTGTGGCCGAGTTCAGCCCCTGCTCGATTCGAGACGTGGCGCTGTGGCTTACCATGGAGAGATGTGGTTAAATGGTTAATGTCCACCTACCTATAACCAATTGGTTTTAAGTAGGATATGGCAACCAGGTACCATAGAACTCTGTGGTTAAGCGTGCTTGACTTCCGGCAATCCCGGGATGGGTGACCCCCTGGGAAGTAAGCATAGTGCAGCGCTGAGATCCGACAATTGGTATCAGAGCCGAGGTCACGGGTTCGGATCGATGGCGAGGCGAAAGCCGAGTCCAATCCCAGGTGGGATGTGGGCGTAGGTCAGGCCAAGTCCAATCCCAGGAGGGGATGGTGGGCGCGTAGGCTAAGGACCGAGTCAAGCATCAGAGCCGAGGTCACGGGTTCAGATCGATGGCGAGCCGAGTCCAATCCCAGGTGGGAAGTGGGCGTAGGTCGGGCCAAGTCCAATCCCAGGAGGGGATGGTGGGCGCGTAGGCTAAGGATCGAGTCAAGCATGCTGCGCAACTGGGCTTGGGCTTGGTGATCAAAGGTTGCGGCAGGTGCTGGGAGGGGGATTGTTGGGCGTCGGCCGGGTTGTGGCCGAGTTCAGCCCCTGCTCGATTCGAGACGTGGCGCTATGGCTTACCATGGAGAGATGTGGTTAAATGGTTAATGTCCACCTACCTATCATCAATTGGATTTAAGTAGGATATGGCAACCAGGTATTATAGAACTCTGTGGTTAAGCGTGCTTGATTTCTGGCAATCCCGGGATGGGTGACCCCCTGGAAGTAAACATAGTGCAGTGCTAAGATCCAACAGAGCCCCTTTTAGGAATACTGGGGAGGAAATGAGAGGAAAGGTTGCTGCGTGTTTGGGCGTGGAACATGCACGGGATTTTGGGAAATATCTGGGACTACCTTTTTTTATAGGGAGGAATAAAAGAGCTGTTTTCTCATATGTGGAAGACAAAATCAGGCAGAGAGTTTTTTCATGGAATAAAAAATTACTATCACATGCTGGCAAAGAGGTGCTCTTGAAAAGTGTGGCCCAATCTATGCCAACTTTTTCAATGAGTGTTTTTTTGCTCCATGAATCGGTCTGTGGGTCTATTTAGAGGGCCATGAACAGGTATTGGTAGGGGAAAGGCCCAAACAAAGGAATTCATTGAAAGGCATGGGATAATTTATGTGTTCCCAAGAAGTTTGGTGTGTTGGGTTTTAAGGATCTGAGGACATTCAACCTTGCGATGTTGGGAAAACAGGCATGGCGGTTTCTTACTGATCCGGGATCCCTGGCAGCAAGAGTGTATAAAGCACGGTATTATCCTAAAACCTCTTTTATTGATGCAACAGTAGGAAATAATCCCAGTTTTTGTTGGCGGAGTATTATGGCTGCTCATAGTCTTATTTGTGCTGGTGTCCGAAGAAGAATTGGAAATGGCGAAAAAACTTTAATCTAGGGACATCCGTGGTTACAGGATAATCCTAGTCCGCTTGTTCAAACAGTAATGCCTGAGCCGTTACGGCATGCAGTAGTTGCAGGTTTAATAGATCAACAGACAAAAACGTGGGATCCTCATATTTTGTCTGATCTTTTTGAACCAGAAGATGTGGATCGTATTGTTAAAATGCCAGTCAGTCCTGATTATGAGGATACATGGTATTGGCATAATGACCCGAACGGCCGCTACACTGTCAAAAATGCCTATAGGCGCCTAATGGGGGAGTTTAATCATACTATGGGGGATTTTGATAAATGGGTCACATTGTGGAAGATGAAAGTCCCACCCAAGTGGAAAACTTTTTTGTGGAGAGCGGTGTGTGATATACTCCCAACCACAACAAATTTGATTATAAAGAGAGTGGATGTGGACCCAACATGCATGTTGTGTGGCCTCACCCATGAAAATGTTATGCATTCACTAGTTTTATGTGATTATTCTAGAGCCGTATGGAATATTTTGGGGCTGCCCATTATGAATATTATTTCTTCTTCTTTTCTGAACTGGCTTATGACTGCTATGGATATGCTCACAGGCGAACAAGTCAGGCGGCTTATGGGGGTCCTCTATTATTTATGGATGGCCAGAAACGAGGCTGTATGGGATCACGCGGTGAGGAGGCCCGAGACTGTCTTGCGCCGTGCAGCCGCCGGGAAGGCAAGCTACACGGCCGTGCATGCTTGCACGATACAACCGCCCTCCGACGGTGCGCTGGCAGCGGTGGGCATGCGAATGAAGTGCCACTTCGATGCTGGCTTCAATCCGGCAACCGGGCAGGCTACCTACGGGGCAGTCTTGCTCGATCACGATGGTATGTTCAGAGCTGCAGCCAATGGGAAGCTCCCGGGGTGTTTTTCCCCTCTTATGGTGGAAGCATTAGCATGCAAGGAGGTCTTGTCCTGGCTTAAGGACCGAAACGAGGTCGAGGTGGATATTCTTACGGATTGCCTCGTATTGAAGAATGCTGTTCGCTCAATTGCTACGCCGAATTTATCTTATGTTGGAATTGTGGTAGAACAATGCAGGGTAGCTATCAATAGTTTCAATTACTGTTCACTCAGTTTTATTACTAGAACTTTAAATTTACATGCGCATACTCTCGCTAGATTAGCCTATGATCAGGATCACTCTATGTATTGGGATTTAATTCCTCCTAACTCTATCGTTCAGTTCCTGATTTAATATATTGGTTACGCCATTTTTCAAAAAAAAAAAAGGTCATTTTCATTGACCCATATTATTTATCAATTACAAAGGGAAAATTATATCTTGCTCCAGGGCGCACAATGCATTATGCGCCCTGGCCCAAAACGACAACGTTTTTATAAGTTGGTGGAGAGTTGATACGATGGACACCGTTCCGTCCGTCTGATCCCGTTACAATTTTTTTAATTTTTTTTTTTTTGTATTTAATACACATAATACACATAACCGAAACCGAGAATTATGTTATAAAATTATGTTAAGATAAGTATGTTTATTATCTCAAAACGATGTTGTTTTGTATTTTTTTTTTTTAATTTTAAGTATTATCTTAACATTATGTATTTTTTACGTAAGAAACGAGAAACCGAGAATTTTACGTAAGAAACGAGAAACGAAATTTCTAAAAAAAAACGCGTTAATTAAAAAAAATACAAAACAACATCATTTTGAGAAATTGTGCGCCCTGATACACGATATTACAATTGATTACAAAGGCATTTGTGGATAAAGCCCAATCATAAGCAGGCCTCTTATCTTAATTAAAAATATCATAATAAGGCTTATATCGTGTTGAGATAAGAATATATAAAATTATAAGATTGGTCATGTATGGTATCATAGTTAATTTATCAATCAATTTTGATTTATTTAATTATTATTAGTTGTTTGACTTAGTTAAACAATCAATATTTATTTTTGATTAGTTAGCTTTTTGTAATAACTTATTACTCTAAAATGCTAGATTTCAAAAGCTGCTCAAAGTAACTTTTTGAGAAAGTCATCAACTATTAACGAATAATTGTGTGCATAGGGTACATCATTTGAGCATATACAAATTGATTGAATATTGATTATTTAGAAATGTATATTCTAAACTTATTTATGTTTTTTTTTTTTGGAAAATAAATACCGAACATCACATTAAAACATATCCGAATACAAAACATCCATAAGAAAATCAAGAGGGGAAGTCCTCCATTCCTTATGAATACAACTTCCCTTACTAAATATAGACATCTCTATTCGCAGACCGTTTAACAAATATAAAACTAATGTTTCTAAAATCTTTAGCTAAGTCCCAAATATCTTTCAAAAGAAGAAAAATAGCAAGAATGATTCTTAATTTATCCCTTCTATGACAAAGAGGACATTTGATTCTAATTGCACTTCATCATACCCAAGAGTCTTCAGCCATTTTAATGCCTCATGTACTCAATGTTTACTATTTATATGCATAAAATTTACTATTTGTGTTAATGTTTTTTTATGCATGGTCCAAAGTAAAATTTGTCGAAATTACACATTCATTTAATCGAGTAAGAATATATAATTTTAATATTCACATTACGTACTGATATTATGTGATACTCCATATAATTTAAGCCTAACATCCTATAAAGTTTTATGTGTCTATCTAATAGAGAATTAATTATTGGGATTTTTCCTCCCTTCAAAAAATACAATCTTAGTTTAGGCTAACATTTTCGCTTTTCTAGTTGAATACATTAGATAAAAGCAAAGTTTCACATGACATTTCCATCCAACCAAACACCCGCTTAGTTTTAAAATACTTTCTTGTTTAAAATCCCTTTTAATTTGTCTTTAATAATTTTTAAATGATAATCGTTTTAATGTTGGGTATGAACCTCCACACATCCTATATAAAAATGGCTAGCTATTAATTATCATAAGGGACAAAATTATTGGAAGGAAGCAAGGCTACTGCCAGTTGTGTCAAGAAGAGCTCACAAGTAAATGTACCATGCAAAGGTGGTTAGAGGCAGTTTTCTCCATTAACCATGTATATAAGCCTGTTTCAGTTGTAATCAGAACAGAATTTTCACTCACAGTTTCAATAACAACTTTTCCCTCCTTTTTCTGTTCATTCTCTTCGATGCTAGCCTAAACCGAAATGGTATCAGAGCCATGGCGTACCACTTACGCCGCCGTCGTCACCGGCGACGGAGGAAACAATCAAGGAGCGAGTGCTGCTTCACCAGTCGATCGATCACCTGATCAAGTTTTACCAGGCGCGATTCCGCAGAGGAATCATGTTCAATCAGAGAGAAACTACAACATCCACGAGTTGGAGAATCCTCTCTTCTTCAGCTCCACGGATAGTGCATCAGCCATCCTTGTCAGTCCGGCGCTGAATGGAAGCTCAAACTACGGCAGCTGGAGTGTTTCCATGAAAATCGCCCTGGAGGTGAAGAACAAATGGACGATTGTCAACGGGAGCACTCTTCCACCGAGCAGAGAGCAGAGCCAATATGCAGCTTGGAGGCGATGCAACCTCATGATTTGCTCGTGGATCTTCAAGTCAGTTCTCCCTTCCATAGCGCAAAGCGTGATGCATTTCGATGATGCGAAAAGCGTGTGGGATGATCTGAAGCGTAGGTTCTCTCAACAGGACGCACAGAGGATTTCAATCTTACAGTCCGAAACCTATAATCTGAGGCAAGGTTCTATGTCCGTTAATGAGTATTACACACGTTGCAGAACATTGTGGGAGGAGATGAACACCCTACGTCCGATCCCTATATGTAAGTGTGATCCTAGATGCAGGTGCGATCTCACTAGCATCATTAGAAAAGAGAGAGACACGGATCAAGTGATCCGATTCTTGCAGGGCCTCAACGATGAATACAATAACTTGAAATCCAGTGTGCTCATCTTGAATCCTCTGCCAGAGGTCTATAAGATCTTTGTCATGGCAGAGAAATTGGAGAGACAGATTAGTCTGAATAATCTGACTCTTGTAGGAGTAGATGTTGCTCAATCTAATGCTGTGCAGGGCCTCACAAATGATGAAACAGTTGCTGCAGTCCCTTACTTATCTAATGGCAGAAGAAACAATGTTCAAAAGGCCAAATGTACCTATTGCGGAATGTCTGGACACACTATTGACAAGTGCTATAAGAAGCAAGGCTATCCTCCCGGTTGGGTGCCGGGATACAAATCAAAGGCCAAACAACAATCCACCACAGCAATGAGCTCCACTAATGATTTGGGATTCTCTTTTAAACAGATGCAGAAAATGCTCTCATATCTGCAAACTCAAGTAGGTCAATCTGGACCATCTAATTCAAGCATGTCTGCTGCTTGTTCTCTGTCTCCGAAGTTTGATGAATCACATGATTCTGAAGGCAAGTATCTAGTTAATTCCCTCTCTTTGAATAACTCTACATGGATCCTTGATTCGGGAGCTACCAACCACATTGTGTCTTCTCTTGATTTTCTTGATAATCACTGCAAGGCTAATGGAGTGGAGGTCCACCTTCCTACTGGACAATGTGTTTCAGTCGAACACATAGGTGAAGTAAAATTCAATGACAATCTGTTGTTGAAAGGAGTCTTATACATCCCCCTATTCAAGTTCAACATCATCTCAGTAAGCAAGCTAATTAATGATGCTGCTTATAAACTAACTTTTATGTCCAAACAGTGTTTGATTCAGGAGAGTCTTAGGAGGACAGTTGGATTAGCTAAAGAGGAAGGAGGATTGTATGTGATGTAGTCATCCAGGTTACCAGCTAAGAAGTATGCCATTCAGTGCATCACTCCAGAAATTTGGCACCAAAGGTTGGGGCATTTCCCAACAAATAAACTCCATCTTGTATGTGATATAGATACTACTAGAAATAAGAGTGTTGCTTGTGACACATGCCACTTGGCTAAGCATAAACGCTGTCCCTTTCCTGTTAGTACTACTAGCTCTAAACATTGCTTTGAGTTGATTCATATGGATATTTGGGGACCTTTTCCAATTTGCTCATTGAAAGAGGATTATTACTTCTTAACAATTGTTGATGACTACTCTAGATTTACTTGGTTACACATGATGAAGAACAAATCCGAAACAAGGCAACTTATGAAGAATTTTCATGCTTATGCCTTCACTCAGTTTGGCAGCTTGATTAAAACTATTCGTAGTGATAATGGAGCAGAATTTAAAATGGAGAATTTCTTCTTAGAAAAGGGCATTATCCATCAGCGTTCATGCGTGTATACACCTCAACAAAACGCCGTTGTAGAACGTAAACACCAACACATTCTCAACGTTGCTAGATCTCTTCGATTCCAAGCTAACCTTCCCCTAGATTTTTGGGGGCATTGTGTTATGCATGCAGTTTTTATCATAAACAGGCTACCCTCCCCGGTAGTTAATCTATCTAGTCCATACAAGAGGCTCTATGGTACTGATCCAGACTTGAGCACCATTAGAGTCTTCGGATGCTTGTGCTATGCGGCTACACTCAAGACTGGCAGACATAAGATGGCAACCAGAGGGCAGAAATGTATCTTTGTAGGCATACCAGCTGGGATAAAAGGCTATATGCTCTACAGTTTGAATGATGTATCAATATTTGTTTCTAGGGACGTGGTCTTCTATGAAACTCAATTCCCTATGGCAGATAAAGATGAGCTTCATAAACAGCCTTCACAGTGTGAGCTCTCACTTCCCAATGTCCCTACATCTCTAAATCTGGACTTGGAAGTCTATGAACCAGCAGTCCATGACATGCTGCAAGGGCCAGTTAATGTTGGAAGGGCTCAGACAGATTCAGCCTCATCACATGAATCAGCAGACTTTGATGTTCCTCAACCTCATGCCCTGCCAAGCCATAGTATGTCGCATGAGCCACTAAGTGTTGATACATCACAACCAAGCAGTCTGAACAGTCAAGAGGAGGCCATCAGTTACGATAGCCAACCTGTGATCGCACAACAGCCTAGTGCACTGCCAAGTCCTAGGAGATCATGCCGATACCGCCGTGCCCCAAGCACGCTCATGGATTACTATTGTGACTCTGCCATAGTCCAAGGTTCGTCACCTCATCCTATCTCTGCAGTCTTATCATATGACCATCTCTCTTTGCCACACCGAAAGTTTGCTATGGCAGTCACTTCTATTGATGAGCCACGAACATATAAACAAGCCATACAGCATATGTGTTGGAAAGAAGCAATGGATGCTGAGATTAAGGCGCTACAACAAAACAACACTTGGAAAATTGTTGATCTACCCTCCGGGAAGAGCCCTATAGGGTGCAAATGGATCTACAAGACAAAGCTTAGAGCTTATGGTTCAGTAGAACGCCACAAAGCTCGATTGGTGGCTAAGGGCTACACACAGCAATTGGGCATAGACTACATCGAAACGTTTTCCCCGGTTGCAAGAATTACCACCATTCGCACCTTCCTAGACATGGCATCATCCCGGGATTGGCATATCCATCAATTGGATATCAACAACTCTTTCCTCCATGGAGATTTAGACGAGGAGGTTTACATGGTGTTACCACCCGGTTTTCAAAGTGAACGCCCAGGCCAAGTATGCAAGCTTTTACGGTCTTTATACGGCTTAAAACAAGCTAGCCGGCAGTGGAATTCCAAGCTCAGCAATGCCTTAATTCAGAGGGGTTTTACACAATCCATTTCGGATCCCTCTCTGTTTACAAAGGGAAATTCTGCAGACTTTATTGCCCTTCTCATATATGTAGATGACATAATTGTAACAAGTCCTAACCTGTCTCTTATCAAGGAGCTCAAAGACTTCCTTAACACAGCCTTCAAAATCAAAGATCTTGGCATTCTAGGATACTTTCTGGGGATTGAAGCTCATGTGCACAAATCAGGCTTGAACTTGTGTCAAAGAAGATATGCTCTGGAAATACTTGATGAAGCCGGTTTCATTAATTGTAAACCAGTCAATACTCCAATGGTTCCCGGGGCTCGACTCACCAAAGAAGGAGGCACTCCCCTTAATGATGCTTCTAGCTACAGACGTCTTGTTGGCCAGTTGCTATATCTGACCGCAATAAGACCGGATATAACATTTGCCATTCAACAACTCAGCCAGTATGTCAACTCTCCTACCACTGAACATATGGCTGCAGCTCATCGCGTCCTCAGGTACCTCAAAAAGGCCCCTGGCCAGGGCTTATTCTATCCAAAGCTTAGCAATATGCAGCTAAACGTGTTCTCTGATTCGGACTGGGGAACATGCTTAGACACTCGGAGATCCATCACCGACTTCTGTGTCTTTCTTGGATCAGCATTGATCTCATGGAGGACGAAGAAACAGGCTACTGTTTCCCGCTCATCCTCCGAAGCAGAGTACCGTGCATTGGCAGCAACTGTGTGTGAAGTTCAGTGGATCACTAGGCTGCTGCATGACCTTCATATAAAACTGGACAAACCTGCTGCCTTATTTTGTGACAACAAGTCGGCTATTGCCATCGGTGAGAACCACGTGTTCCATGAACGAACTAAACATCTAGATATAGACTGCCACATTGTTCGTGAGAAGCTCAATCAAGGCATCATCAAGCTTCTGTCCGTACCATCTTCAGCTCAAGTTGCAGATGGATTCACGAAGGCTCTTCCCATCTCATCCTTTCAAGCATTCTTATCTAAACTGGGTACTCAGGATCTTCATACTCCAGTTTATGGGGGAGGGGGGGGGGGTATTGGAAGGAAGCAAGGCTACTGCCAGTTGTGTCAAGAAGGGCTCACAAGTAAATGTACCATGCAAAGGTGGTTAGAGGCAGTTTTCTCCATTAACCATGTATATAAGCCTGCTCCAGTTGTAATTAGAACAGAATTTTCACTCACAGTTTCAATAACAACTTTTCCCTCCTTTTTCTGTTCATTCTCTTCGATGCTAGCCTAAACCGAAATTTTAATTTTTATTTTATTTTTATATATCAATAAGCCTCAAAATTGTCTCGAAAAAGATGTTTGAGCGGGTGAAACATGATTCCCGTATCAGTACCTAAATGTTACAAGTTTGATTATTCATCACATAGGATCTTTCTAGTACGTTTTTCTAAATATTGCAATTATGTCTCAGATGAGATCATTGTTATAATATCTTTAAATTCATAAAAATAAATTAATAAATATGCTAGTAAATATAAGTGCACACCTCCGAGTAAAAATTGTGGGTTTCAATCTTTCTGAGAGATGAATCAAGGGAAAGTTTATATAACTTTTTTGAAACTAAAGTTTATATAACTTGATGACTAAAGTATTGATGAAAGCGACTGCCACTTGCCTAAATTCTTGTTTTATTCACTATGGAGCTTCTCTTTTTATCTTGGAATAAACATTTTTGGCTATGTAATAACACTTACATTATAATAAATTTTCATGTAACTTTTAACTAGATAAATATATTAAATACGTAAACAATCATTACTCTGCAAATGATAACAAATCAAATAATATTTAAATAATGTTTCAAAAAAATACTATTTAAATAGAGGAATGAAATAGCAAAGAGTAAATAGTTAATTCAATCCCTTTTAGTTATACATGTCATCATGTTTGGTATCGAATAAGTTGTTAAGATGGTGACGGAATTAATTAAATCCAGAAATAATGAAAACATTAATTTGACGGTCAAATAATGTTGAAAATATTAACTTCAAATATAATTTTTGTAAATTTTTTTTGCAGTATTTTTATTTACATTTACTAATCTACACTTTATAAGCAAGAAAGTTGGTTTATTAGTAAGAACTAACGAGGTGTTTGGTTGGATGGAGAGAATTAGTTGGGAAAAGAATTGTAATACCATGAGAGAGAAATACAGTGGTAATTTAAATTCCAGTGTTTGCTTTGCTGGAATATAATTACCGTGAATTTTAATCCCAACGTTTGGTATAAATAAAAATTGAAAGGAAATAAGTAGCTAGTATAAAGTCCAAAATGTCTATATTTCATAATAATAATAATAATAATAATAATAATAATAATAATAATAATAATAATAATAATAATATTATTATTATTATTATTATTATTATTATTATTGTTATTATTATTATTATAAATCCTAAATGACCAAATTCAAATTTTTCTTTTTGAAATTTTATGTAACATACTATCAATAAATCCTAGAATTGCATAACAAAAGTAATAAAATAGATAAGAGAGTTTTGAGAAAACACATTTGATTGATGTTGAACTACTAATTGACGTTCTGTGTTGAGGGTAGAAGAAGATGACACGATATAATAGGAAGAGAGATGTCAAACTTCAATTTTAGGTTAAAAAAAGAGAGGGGTACGTAATTTTGTCTCAAAATTATCTTTTCTTTTCCTAAAATCCATGGAATTGAAATATCAAGGGGGACATGGGATTCTAATTCCTAGAAAATGAGGGAATTTTAATTCAGCAGAATTAAAATTTCCCCCAGTTAAACGAATGAATTTGCTTGCCTTCGAAATTATGTGAGAATTAGGTGGGAATGAAATTGCAATTCCCTCCCACCAAAAGCCATGTAATAAGGACACTACAAATTTACAAAATTAACCTTGAAAAGGTTAGGATTTTGAGCATTAATAATTCAACATCACCTCAAGGGACTAATTTTATCACAACTTTGACAACTTAAAAACCAAATGCAGTGCTGCATATAATTGAAAGATTGAATTAACTAACTTATAATTAAGCTTAAAGACCAAAACCACCATTCAATATAAGCATTCAATATAAGTAAATTGAATG